CTTCCTCTTTACTGATTTGGATGCCCTTTATTTCTTTCTCTTGTCTGATTGCTCTGGCTAGGGCTTCCAGTACCATGTTGAAGAGTGGTGAGAGTAGGCATCCTTGTCTTGTTCCAGTTCTCAGAGGGAATGCTTTCTTTTTCCCATTCAGTATTATGTTGGCTGTAGGTTTGTCACAGATGTCTTTTATTACATTAAGGTATGTCCCTTTTATGATGATTTTGCTGAGGGTTGTAATTGTAAAGAAATGAGGCCGGGCATGGTGGCTCATGCCTATAATCCCAGCACTTTGGTAGGCTGATGAGGGTGGAGCACGAGGTCAAGAGATCGAGACCATCCTGGTGAACAAGGTGAAACCCCGTCTCTACTAAAAATACAAAAATTATCTGGGCATGGTGGCACACGCCTGTAGTCCCAGCCACTTGGGAGGCTGAGGCAGGAGAATTGCTTGAATCCAGGAGGCAGAGGTTGCAGTGAGCCGAGATCATGCCATTGTACTCCAGCCCGGGTAACAAGAGCAAAACTCCATCTCAAAAAAAAAAAAAAAAATTTTGTTGAATGCTTTTTCTGCATCTGTTAAGATGATCATGAGATTTTTGTGTTTAATTCTTCTGTTTATGTGGTGTATCACATTTATTGACTTGCATATTTTAAGCCATTCCTGCATCCCTAGTATGAAAACCACTTGATTATGGTGGATTATCTTTTGATGCATTGTTGGAGTCAGTTAGTTAGTATTTTGTTAAGGATTTCAGCATCTATGTTCATCAAGGATATTGGTCTGTAGTTTTCTTTTTTTGGTTATGTCCTTTCCTGGTTTTGGTATTAGGGTGATGCTGGCTTCATAGGATGAATTAGGGAGGTTTCTTTAGTGTCAAAGGATTGGTATCAATTCTTTGAATGTCTGGTAGAATTCTGCTTTGAATCCATTTGGTCCTAGGCTTTTTTTTGTTGGTAATTTTTAAATTACCATTTCAATCTCACTGCTTGTTATTGGTCTCTTCAGGGTATCTAAATTCTTCCTGATTTAAGCTAGGAGGGTTGTATTTATCCAGACATTTATTCTCCTCTTCCAGGTTTTCTAGTTTATGTGCATAAAGTTGTTCATAGTAGCCTTGAATAATCTTTTGTATTTCAGTGGTGTCAGTTGTAATATCTCCTGTTTCATTTGTTAGTGTGGTTATTTGAATTTTCTCTCTTCTCTTTTTGGTTAATCTTGCCAATGATCTATCAATTTTATTTATCTTTTCAAAAAAACCAGCTTTTTGTTTCATTTAACCTTTTCATTTATTTTATTTGAATTTCATTTTGTTCTTCTCTGATCTTTGTTATTTCCTTGCTTCTGCTGGGTTTGGGTTTGGTTTGTTCTTTTTGCTCTAGTTTCCTGAGGTGTGACCTTACAGTGTCAGTTTGTGCTCTTTCAGTCTTTTCAATGTGGGCATTTATGGCTATGAACTTTGCTCCTAGCAAAGTTTGCTGTATCCCAGAGATTTTGATTGGTTGTGTCATACTGTCCTTCATTCAAAGAATTTTTAAATTTCCATCTTGATTTCATTTTGACCCAATGCCATTCAGAAGCAGATTCTTTAATTTCCATGTATTTGCATGGTTTTGAAGGTTTCTTTTGGAGTTGATTTCCAGTTTTATTCCACTGTGGTCTGAGACAGAGCTTGATATAATTTCAATTTTCTTAAATTTATTGAGGCTTGTTTTATGGCCTATCATATGGTCTATCTTGGAGGAAGTTCTATGTGCAGTTGAATAGAATGTGTATTCTGAAGTTGTTGGATGAAATGTCTGTATATATCTGATAAGTCCATTGGTTCCAAGGTATAGTTTAAATCCACTGTTTTTTTTGTTGACTTTCTGTCTTGATGACCTGTCTAGTGCTGTCAGTGGAGTATTGAAGTACCCCACTATTACTGTGTTGCTGTCTATCTCATTTTTTAGGTCTATTAGTAATTGTTTTATACATTTGGGAGCTCCAGTGTCAGGTGCCTATATGTTTAGGATTGTGATATTTTCCTGTTGGACAAGGCTTTTTACCATTATATAATGTCCCTTTTTGTCTCTTTTAACTACTGTTGCTTTAAAGTTTATTTTTTCTGATATAAGAATAGTTATCCCTGCTCACTTTTGGTGTCCATTTGCATGAAATGCCTTTTCTCACCCCTTTACTTTATGTTTATGTGAGTACTTACTGTGGTAGGTGAGTCTCTTGAAGGCAGCAGATAGTAAATTGGTGAGTTCTTATCCATTCTGTGGTTCCGTAAGTAGAACATTTAGGCCATTTACATTCAATAATAGTATCAAAATGTGGGGTACCATGGAATTCAACATGCTCTTTGTAGCCTATGTACTTTGCGTTTTTTCCCAAAGAAGAAAAAAAAGCTGAAACTGAAGCTCTTCTCCCACAAACAGACCTTCAACTTCTCTAGTGGGAGTCTGTGTTTGGGAGAGGAGGGTCTCCCTTTCCCACTTCCACAGTTGGGGAACTCACAGTTTTGGGGGGGTGCTTTCCTGGGTCCTGCAGGGTGTTTTTTTGTTGTTTTTGCTTTTTAACTTGTGTTTTTATTTTATAGGTCCTCTGTGATCTATGCTTTAAAGAGATTCTGTTTTGATATGTTTCTAGGATTTGTTTCAAGATTCAGAGACCCTTTTAGCACTTCTTGTCATGGTGGCTTGGTAATGATGAATTCTCTCAGCATTTGTTTGTCTGAAAATGACTGTATCTTTCCTTCATATATGATGCTTAGTTTCACTAGATACAGAATTCTTGGCTGATAATTATTTTATTTGAGGAGGCTGAAGATAGGGCTCCAATCCCTTCTAGCTTGTAGAGTTTCTGCTGAGACATCTGCTAATCTGATAGGTTTTTCATTTGTAGGTTACCAGGTGCTTCTGTCTCACAGCTCTTAAGATGCTTTCCTTTATCTTAACTTTGGATAATCTGATGACAATATACCTAAACAAAGATTTTTTTGCAATGAATATCCTGAGTGTTCTTTGTGCTTCTTATATTTGGATGTCTAGGTTTCTAGCAAGGCTGGGGAAGTTTTCCTTGATTAGTCTCTCAAATACGTTTTCCAACCTTTTAGAAATCTCTTCTTCCTCAGTGACACCAATTATTCTTAGGTTTGGTCATTTAATATAATCCCAGACCTCTTGGAGGTTTTGTTCATATTTTCTTATTATTTTTTCTTTTTCTTTATTGAATTGGGTTAATTTGAAGACTTTGTCTTCAAGCTCTGAATTTCTTTCTTCTACTTGTTCAGTTCTATTGCTAAGACTTTCCAGAGCACTTCACATTTTTAAAAGTGTGTTTAAAGTTTTCTGGATTTTTAAATTGTTTTTTATTAAACTATCTATTTCCTTGAATATTTATCCCTTCACTTCTTGTATTATATTTTGGATTTCCCTGCATTGGGCTTCATCTTTTTCTGGTCCCTCCCTGATTAGCTTAATAACTAACCTTCTGAATTCTTTTTCAGGTAAATCAAAGATTTCTTCTTGGTTTGGATCCATTGCTGGGGAACTAGTGTAATTTTGGGGGGACACTGAAGAGCCTTGTTTTGTCATATTACCATGGTTGGTTTTCTGGTTCCTTCTCACCCCTTGGTGGCAGGGGGGTACAATAGACTTTGTAAGTGTTCTTAGCTTTGGTTATTTATAGTTCTATTTTTATGCTGGTTGTCCTCCTGCCATGAGGTGGCGCTTTTCAGAGAACAACAGCTGTGGTATTATGGGGAGGAACTGGCAGTGGGCAGGGCCCTAGAACTCCCAAGTTTATATGCCCTTTGTCTTCTGATACTAGGATGGGTAGGGAAGAACCATCAGGTGGGGACAGGGCTAGGTGTCTCTGTGCTCAGAATTCCTTGGGTGGGTCTTGCTGTGGCTGCTGTGGGACATGGGAGTGAGAGTCTCAGGTCACCGGAGTTGTGTACCTAAGATTATGGCTACTTCTGCTGAGTTATGCAGATTGTCAGGGAAGTGGGGGAAAGCCAGCAGCAATCACAGGCCTCACCCAGCTCCCAGGAAAACCAACGGCTGGTCTCACTCCCACCATTCCCTCCATAACAGTCCCTAGACTGTTTCCAGGCAGAGAACAATACTGACTTGAAAACCTGCCCCAGGCTAATTGCCTCCCAGCTGGAAAGAAAATGGCTTGGTTCTTCCCCTGCCTGTGGAGTCTGTACCCTGGATTTGAGTCCTCCCCTAAGTTCTAGCCAGGCACTTCTCACCCTCTTCAAATTCTTACAAAGTTCAGCTAGAGATTTGCTTTTCCCTGTGTAGTTTTACCTCCTGCTCCTCTCCTGTTGGATCCCTGTGGTGCCAGGCAAGAACAGCCCACTTGGGGACCCAGCGATGTCCCACAGCCTTTCTGCTGCTTCTTCTACCCTGTATTTCACTGGGCTTTCCAAATTGACTTAGCTTCAGGTAAAGTCAGAAACATCTGCAGCAAACAGACCTTCAGCTACTGCAGTGGAAGTGTATGCTTGGGAGAACAGTCTGCTTCCTTCAGAGGGTCTGTGGTCCTCTCCATGGTGCTGAATTCAACCCAGGTTTCACCTAGGACCTCATCATACACTCATTAGGATACTTAATAATACACCCACCAGCACCATGACAGTTCCAGGAACATTCATATTTGGTGTAAAAATAGGTGGCACCAGAGTTCCAAGAAATCTCCATTTTTTTCAGGAATCTTCATGAATGTTTCACCCCTTGGTTAAAGAAACTTTTATGGCGGCTGCCTCAAACCCCCTTATATGACACTCCCTGGAGTCCACCCACGCTCCCCTCTCTTGAGTGTGTACTTTTCACTTTGCAATAATCTCTGTACTTTCACTGTTTTCCAACTCAACCTTGAACTGTTTCTTGCAATTGCATCAAGAACCTGGATATTAGCCAGCATCAAGTTCCCAGAGGCATTTGGGGACCTCCCCTAGCCCACCAATTTCAGGAGTGTCTCTATTCAGGGGTCCAGTAAAACTACTCACCACAAATTCACCAGGAAAGGGTGCTCCAGACCCTGCATGATCTGGAGTTCCTTGAAGACATTTCTTACTTCATTGCGCTCCACACACTTTTGTTTATTCATGTACTTCATTGCGTACATCTTCTTGGTATCATTCTTCTGTACAATGCAGACCTAATGGTGAAAACCAGAGTGAGAGAGTATTTAGGGAGATGATGCATCATGGTGATGAGAGACAGAACAAGACATGTTCTTTGCTGTGGCTTGGATCTTTAACATTTGTAAATTATATGATGTTAAAGTTCCCACTTAGCTCTGATTTTAGATTAAAAATTTCATTTTCTTTTCTATGCACCAGTTCAATTCTTGGATCTCTTTTTTCTCAAACAATTTTGCCTGGTTTTGCTTTTTTGAGTTTTTAAGACAGCATTTTGGTGAAAATAGCTGCCTCCATGTCAGGAATCTTCCAATAACAAGTAACATCCTTAATCCTGCTTTGAGTGACTGAAATAGACATGACTAAACTGTCAACTTGAATAATACTGTGCAAAGAATTTCTGTTTACAACCATACATGATATAACCAAAAAGTACTTTAAGGACTGGAAAAACACTAAATATAATGTCCATGTTTTAAAAATTTCTTTAGCGGTCTATATAATACCTGATAAAGTTAATAGCAAATGATTTTAAAATGCAAGTTTAACATGAAATACTATTCTCTTAAAGTGTGCCTTCATTGAGAAACTAGTAATCAGGGTTTGAATATGTAAGGTTCTTGCAAAAATGTCAGACTGAATATGTACAGTTCTTAAGATAAAAACATTATACAAATGAGGAAACTGAAATAGAAATCAGGTGGCTTCTTTCCCACATGAAAATAATTAACTCTTCCATTGACAAGACAATTATTACTGGGTGTACAGTGGGTATAATCAGAAAATGATTCTGAAATCCTCATCTACTTTAGGGTGGAGAGAAAAGCTTTAAAGGTTAGTGAGAGTAAACAGATTCAAGTTTAATGAGATTATTCTGAGAACAGTATGTGTTCATTATGTAGCTGCCTGTCACATGCTTTCCGTAAACTGTAGTGACAATTTTATAAAAATCCATTATAAAATCATTTTCACTTAATCATCTTTCCTTGTAGTCCCAGCAACTCAATAATGTGAACATTTCTGGATCCTCTGTTCCCTGGGCTACACAACCCTGCTGGTGGTTAATTATTTCAGTTGGTTCTCACCTTCCCAAAACTGCCTTTCCCAATGGCTCGCAAAATTTCGAAGTGGTCAAAGTTGACTGTAAAACAACAACAAAGAAGAATATCATGAGTGATTATCAATTTAACTTTAGTAGCTAATAAATAATAAAGATTGGACTACTGAAGTATCTTGCCTAAAATATGATCTCAGATTATATTAAAATGCCAATCTATTCATCCAATAAACATCTATTGAACACTTATTATCTATTCATCATAGTGCTTATTGCTGGGAATATAGTTTTCAAAAAGTGAAAATAGAATCTCTGCATTTATGGAGTCTGTAGTCAAGTGAGGCCCTATAAAGAGAGAGACTCTTATGGACTAAATAGTCATGAAAGTAAATGGAAAATTCAGGCTCCTGCTGCAAGTTAAGAAGAGAGGTCATGGGGCTTTAAAAACATAACAGAATTTGACATAGGCAGCAAGGTAAGGGGAAACATCTCTGAGCACAGAATGACTTCAGAAAGATCTGCTCCCAGGTGCATCACATGTATGGCTTTACTGAAGATCAGCAATGTAAAATATTCTCCTTGCCTATTTTCTTACTATGACCACTCTTTTGTATCTAAGTAATTTCAATTTTACCAAGTAGGAAAGTATTACATCTCTAAGTGTGTAGCATGAACTCATCTCCAAAGTGCAGACATGTAACAGATTAGAATGGATGTATGTGCAGAAGTCCACTAAATACTGTTTTGAAATAGTCGATCCTTCACACTGCAACTTTAAAACTTCAGCCCCTAGAAGAGGCAACAGTTGATTAGTTTATAGGTAGCATGGGTTTTTGAGTCAATGCTCATGGAATGCATAGTGATGAGAAGAACAAATTATAGATTCTCCTGCACAGGTGACAATTTTCAGTTTCTTTCCTTGGTAACGGAAAAATGTTTGACTCTGTTTTCTGGTTTTTGAAATAAGGATTTAGCTCAGTTCAATTCTAATAAGGGATTTTAAGAGTTTTAGAGGAGTTAAATTCCAAATAAGGGATTTTATGAACTTAGTTAGAAAAGATTGTGAAACACCAAATGGTGTAATTTTTCTCTTTAAAAGACCTAGTTTGTCTCTATTATCCAGAATAATTAGATAAGCTCCTTCTGAAGAAAAAAGTTTGGCAAGAGTGCCTCTCAAAGTCTTTTCAAGATTTCTGAGAGTCAAACATTTTAATGATGTGACTTAATCATTTTCTCTTCTGAACTCCAAATTTGCTTTCTTTTGAGCACAAAACCTACTCTATCATGTGAGGCAGCATGTATATTACAAATAATCCTGTACTTGGAATGAAGAGACTTGAGATAAATGACAGATTTTTTGAGCCTCCATATACTCATCAGAAAAAATTGGACTGACTCTCCTAGATCAGAAGAATCCCTTCTACTAAGAAAGTATTACTAAAGCTGTTTACTTATTTAACATAGTTACTCAAGGGAGTGACTTCTTTTCTAAAATTCCTTGGATTCTGAGTTTATTTCATCCACTACAGCATAAGCTCAATGAGGGTGGAGATGATATGTCATTTTGCTCACTCTGGGTCCCCTGCCACCTCAGTAAATTCCTGGCTTAGGTAGTTGAAGACATAACTCTGCAGTTCTCACAAGGCAGATCTTAGCAAATAAATCAAACTAAGCTGTAAGCATACACAAGAACACCAAAACAATTAGTTCTTATACGTATGGATAGTGTGATCATTTGGATCCTCTAAGGCAGTGCTTTTGAACTGTGAGTCAAAACCCATTAATGAGTTATGAATTTAGTAATAATAAGAGGTACTAAAAATTTAAAGAAATAAATAGAAAATACCAGAAATGCCTCAAATGTAGTAAGAGTAGTACTGCTGCTGAAACTGTTGTTTCTATTTCATATACTTGAGTAGACATATATATACAATCCCAGCTTTATTTACTATGTCATAATATGTTGTTTGGTATATGTTTTGCCTCGGGTTGTGGTCAGAATAATTTTATAAACACTTCTGTAAGTTTTCTCTTGAGTTTCATACTGAAATAATGAAAGTAATGATTTTCTTCTGCCCATTACATGAATCTGAGTTGTGTATTATTTACCATGAGAGTGTTAAAAAAAGCTGACCAGCATTTATTTGCAAGTTCAAGATTTTATCTTCAGCAAATCCAATAACTCACTGTGATTTCTCCACTAGCAGTCTAGCCTAGAATGCTGTGATGACATTTTAAATCTCCAAGGATACAGCAAGTACCTAGAAAGCCTGAAGTTCCATCTTGATATCAATCCATTTCATGAACCACCTCCTTTTATAAACCATTTTAATCTTACCGAAAATAATACGGGATTACATTTCAGGTTCCTGGTAAATTTATACTAGCAAGGTAAATTTATACTAGCAAAACTGCCTTAACTAAATGTGACCTCCCAAATGTCACTTCTTGGAAAAGGGACAAGCCTAATTAGAGCAAGTTCATCTTATTTATGACTTTATCAAAGGAAGACACAACCTCTCTAGTCTAATGCCATACTGCCTAAAATCACTTCCTTGTAAAATCACTTCCTTGTATAAAATCACTTCCTAACGAGAAAGCCAATGATAGATTAAAAGTGGCAATGAGAGGCTGGATGCAGTCACTCGCACATGTAATCCCAGCACTTTGGGTGGCCGAGGCAGGAGCAATGCTGGAGCTCAGGAGTTTGAGACTAGCTTGGGCAATATAGTGAGGCCCCATACCTAAAAAAAATTTTAAAAATTAGCTAGGGATGGTGGTGTGCACCTGTAGTCCCAGCTACTCAAAACTGAGACAGGAGGATCCCTTGAACCTAGAAGCTGAGGCTGCAGTCATCTGTGATTGCACCACTGCACACCGACCTGGGAAACAGAGTGAGAACCTGTCTCCAAAAAAAAAAAAAAAAAAAAGTGACTAGAAGAGGCTCTCTTATTCAACCCTGACAGTCTCTTCTTAAATGTTCAACAGAATCACTAGTTAGCAGGAAGACTAACTTGAAAACACAAATAAACCTCATAAATTCAGACAAAATCAGAGAGATGAAGTCAGAATTGTGGATTATTTTGTCAACAGAAATCTAATAGTACTATAAACATGTAGAATTTACCTAAGGGGAATGTGGAATAGTGTACCCACTATATTCTTAAACCCTTGATCAATATGAACAGTAAATGCCAAATTGGACTTGCAGTCTGTTTTGTGTAGTCTATGAGCTAAGAATGATTTTTGAATTTTTAAAAATTATTTTAAAAAACCAACGGATATGCAGTGGAGAATGTACATAAACCCACAATATTTACTAGCTGGCTCTTTACAGAAAAGTTTGATGGCTGCTGAGATTAAGAGCAGAGTCCCTGAAGACAGACAACCTGAATTCAAATCTCAGCTCCAACAATAAAAAGCTATGTAATCTTAGAAATTTACTTCTATGAGTCCCTTTCTGCATCTATAAAATGAGGATGAAAAATAAGATGTACCTCACAAGGTTTATAAGAAGATGAAATGGGTCATGTGCATAGCATATTGCCTGAAACAAACTACTTTTACTAGTAGTGCTACTACATCTTTTTTTTTGAGACGGAGTTTCCCTCTTGTTACCCAAACTGGAGTGCAATGGCACGATCTTGGCTCACCGCAACCTCCGCCTCCTGGGTTCAAGCAATTCTCCTGCCTCACCCTCCTGAGTAGCTGGGACTACAGGCATGTGCCACCATGCCCAGCTAATTTTTGTATTTTTAGTAGAGACGGGGTTTCATCTTGTTGACCAGGATGGTCTCGATCTCTTGACCTTGTGATCCACCCGCCTCGGCCTCCCAGAGTCCTGGGATTATAGGCGTGAGCCACTGCACCCGGCCACTATTTCTTAACAAGTATCGTAGCTCCCAGCAAATACCACTTTAAGCTGCCATGGTAACACCTGGGTATTATCAGGCAGTATGGAGATAAATGGCATCAGCATCATTTCAACACATTTGGGGTTTTCATAGTCTGTGGTATGGCGTCCTTGCAATGTTTTCTCTGACCTCTAAAGCAAAGTTAACCTTAGTGGTGTTTACTTTTTGGGTCTTATCCTTGTATTATGTTTTAAAACTTTCATTCTTGTTCATGGAGCTCTGGTAACTGTAGCACTTTGGGAGGCCAAGTCAGGCGGATCACGAGGTCACAGTTCAATACCAGCCTGGTCAATATGATGAAACCCTGTCACTACCAAAATTACAAAACTTAGCCAGGTGTGGTTGCCTGTGCCTGTAATCCCAGCTGCTCGGGCCACTGAGGCAGGAGAATTCCTGTGATGCAGAGGTTGCAGGTAGCCACCACTGCACTCAAGCCTGGGAAACAGAACAAGACTTCATCTCAAAAAAGAAGAAGAAGAAAAAAAAAGAAGAAGAAAGAAGAACAAGAAGAGGAAGAAGAAGAAGAAGGAAGAAAGGAGGGAGGAGGAGGAGGAAGAAGAAGAAGAGAGAAGAAGAAGAAGAAGAAGAAGAAGAAGAAGAAGAAGAAGAAGAAGAAGAAGAAGAAGAGAAGAAGAAGAAGAAAGAAGAAGAAGAAGAAGAAGAAGAAGAAGACAGAAAGCCTGTCTGGAGATACTGGGTCTTTTGTGGGGCCTTGAAGGCAGTGGTTTAGGTAGGCAGAGGCAGAGCCTGGTTCTCACTCACACTGACAGGGATGGGCTAAGGTATATGGCCTGCAGGAAAACAGGCAAGGGAGATGTAACTTTGAGGCCTCCCTTACGTGCCTCTGAGTCCTGCTTCACACAGGTCTTTTCATTCCAGCCTTCACAGTCATTGTATCTGTACAGTATCCTAAAAGTTGCCTGGAGGTATATCAGGTTAACAAACAAAGTTGAATGTGCCTTAATGTGATAATTACATGGAATATTAAAAAAGTAAATATCTGAAAAGTACTTATTTCACAGTTTTTCTTTTGGGTGGGTACACATTCCGTCACTAATCAACCAGACACAGAAATTCTATATGCATGAGGCATTTGTTTATGAGGGCAGTCAGTACATGTTGCATTTTTACGTCACTTTCTATCTTCACATCCTTACAGTGTATATAGTT